AGGCAAGTCTACTAAGTCCCAAGTATGATTAGTCAAAATGGAATCTAGCTCACTTTTTATGGCTTCTTTCCAAAAGGTAGCATCTATGGAAGTTATTGCCTCTTTATAAGTTTTAGGGTCTTCACCAATTAAGAAAATAGAAACCACATGTTCGTTTATTTTATCAGAATTTTCAATCAAGAAGGCAATAATAAAATCTGGCCCAAAATCCTTTTCAACTCTTTGTCTTTTACTTTTCCTAGGTTCATCAACATGCTCATTCTCAATGGAAGAAGAACTAGGCAAAGATAGAGGTACACAAGCAGCATTGGAAGAAACATAATCATTGCTAGCTATAGATTTCCTTAATGGAAACACATGTTCAAAAAATTCAGCATCACGGGATTCCGAGATAGAACTATCTTTTAAGGACATAAATTTATAAGCAGCATAATTTTGAGCATAGCCAATAAACACTGCATCATACGTTTTAGGCCCTATGGTAGTCCTTTTAGGAGGAGGCAAACAAACCTTAGCGAGGCACCCCCACATTTTTAAAAATTTTAGATTAGGAGCAAATCCTTTCCATAACTCATAGGGGGTTTTATCCAACCTTTTATGAGGAACCCTGTTAAGAATATAACAAGCAGAAACAACAGCTTCCCCCCACATGTTATCAGCTAAACCTGAGCTTATAAGCATTGCATTCATCATATCTTTAAGAGTTCTATTTTTCCTCTCAGCTATACCATTCTGTTGGGGAGTATTAGGGGCACTGTGTTCATGTATAATCCCATTCTTTTCACAGAATTCCTTAAGGTGAGTAGTATCATATTCCCCTCCTCTATCAGACCTAACCCTTTTTATTTTTCAATCCAATTGATTTTCCACTTCTGTCTTATATTTCAAGAACATTTCCTTAGCCTCATTTTTTGTCCTTAGTAGATAAACTCTAGTATATCTAGAAAAGTCATCTATAAAAGTCACATAATATTTTTTTTACCTCCCTTACTAACTGTGTTCTTGAAATCAGCCAAATCTGTATGGATCAATTCTAAAAGTTCTGTCTTCCTATTTTCAACAGATTTAAATGGTTTCTTGGCATATTTAGCTTCTACACAAACAGAGCATTTAGTAAACTCATTCACATTCACAGCAGGTATCAAGTTTTTTTTTAGCAGGAATCAAGTTTAGTTTTTTAAGTCTTTTAATAGAAGCTATGTTCACATGACCAAGTCTACCATGCCATAAATTAACAGATTCAGCAATATAAGCAGAAGCAAAAAAACTACCATTAGCAATCTTAGAAACAATGTTCAATACAAAGAGACCCTCATTCAAATATCCCTTCCCCACGAATTCCCCATTTCTGGTCAGAACTATTTTATCTGCCTCTAACACAATTTTTAGACCAGCCTTGTTCAATAAAGCACCAGAAACTAAATTTCTACGCAGAGAAGGAGCATAAAGCACATTGTTTAAAGCTAAAGTTTTCCAGAAGTGAATTTAAGTAAGATCTTCCCTTCACTGAAGACTCCAGCGACACTTTGGTTGCCCATGTCTTCAAAGTCGTGGAATAGGTCCTTGTTGGCGCAGAAGTGTCTAGAAGCTCCTGTGTCCAGCACCCAATCAGACTTGTTCTCCACCAGATTTGCTTCAACGACCACTGCAGCAATGACTTCATCTGATTCAACAAGGTTCGCTTGATTTGCAGCTTTACCATCAGTTTTTTCATTTGCCTTTTGCTGTCCACGACGTCGGTAGCATTGGTAAGCCTTATGACCAGTTTTTCCACACACAAAGCACTGTAGCTTAGTCTTTTTCTTTTCAATTTTGTTGCCACCTTTGTTGACACGATTTGGCTTCTTGCGATCCCCTTGATTATGGCTGCTTCCTTTTTTTGTTTATATAATTTTAATGCATCTTTCCTAAGAGTAGTTTTAAAAAAAAATTGTGCATTAAGATTAAGTACAATTTTAATATAACGCTACAAATTTCTTTGTTCAGTAAAACTAAGTGGTTGATCTAATGTGGCTATTAATCGTGACATTTCCATACGATCAACTTGTGGTTCGTATTTTCACGTGCTAAGACCGCCGGTTTGGCGATCAAACGAAATTGCGTTTGGTGGAGATCAACTCTGCCTCCTTGCTTTTGAAGACACTTTTTAGAGTGTCTTGTTAAGTGTGTAGTGTCGTGAATAGTGTTACCTTGTAATTTCTCACCACAATATTTACATTGAGCCATGTATTTAATGTTACCGTTATTGTCGACCTCCTTGCATGTGTTGAAGTACTCCCAAACTGTTGAGGTGTGCATTAGGATTATGTACAATTTTAATATAACGCTACAAATTTCTTTGTTCAGTAAAACTAAGTGGTTGATCTAATGTGGCTATTAATCGTGACATTTCCATACGATCAACTTGTGGATCATATTTTCACGTGCTAAGACCGCCGGTTTGGCGATCAAACGAAATTGCGTTTGGCGGAGATCAACTCTGCCTCCTTGTTTTTGAAGACACTTTTTAGAGTGTCTTCTTAAGTGTGTAGTGTCGTGAATAATGTTATCTTGTAATTTCTCACCACAATATTTACATTGAGCCATGTATTTAATGTTACCGTTATTATCGACCTCCTTGAATGTGTTGAAGTACTCCCAAACTGCTGAGGTGTGCTTGCATTTCTTCTTATAACTTGCAACACTTGCATTAGCACTACTGCTTGCCTCTCCTCCACGCCCACCAGTGCCACCACCATTATGTCCACGACCTCTAGTACATCCACCAGGGGTTGGATTTATAGTTTCCTCAGCAACTCTTTCCATAGTTTGCGATTCCTGTGTTTGAAAAACATTAAGAAATTGCCATTCTTCGATGTTGAATTTGACATCGATGGGAATATCACCACTATAATTAGAAGAAGTCATTATGAAAAATAAGAGAGATTGAGAGCGTTTTGAGAGAGATTAAGAGAGACCGAGAAAGATTTAAGCGAGATTAAGAGATATTTGAGATAGATTAAGAGAGACCGAGAAAGATTTAAGCGAGATTAAGAGATATTTCAGAGAGATTTGAGATAGATTAAGAGAGATTTAAGAAAGATTGAGAGAAATTGAGAGAGAATGAGAGTTTTTGTGTGAGGAAAATGGTTGGAGGGAGGGGGGGTATTTATAGAAAATTTTTTGGCTTGAAAGAAAAAAAATTTTCCCCCAAATTTTCGGGTTCAACAGCTAGTAAAATTTCGGGCAATCGGGTTAGTTCGGGCAGTCGGGCAACGGTCAAAAAAATAGCCGTTGGGGTTTGAATTTTCGGGCAAAAATCGGGCGGCAGTCGGGTTCGGGTAGAAAGATCCGTTGGGGTCAAAATTCGGGCTAACAGTAAAAAATTTTCGGGCTAATGGTAAAAAAAAATTATGGCAAAATTTGGGTAAATTCGGGCAAATTTGGGTTACACCGAAAAATTTTAAAAAAATCCGGCGAATGGCGACGACGACTCCTCCACCGGCGGCGGGCAGCCGGGAAATGATTCTTTTCGGGCTGCCCGAGCCCATGCCCAACTAAATAGCTCGGACGGGCGGCGAATGACACCTGCCCGCCGTGCTAAAAAATTTTCGGGTACCGGGCATGCCCGCCGCCCGAAGTTCCACCACTGATTTTCACCAAGGCATATGGGAATGTTTTCCAAAAACACGCCAAACGTAATACGCATTACGACACGCGACACGACACGAACACGAAGATACGATTGACACGAAATTGACTCGATTTAATAATTTTTTTATTTAAAATATATAAAAATAAGGTCAAATATTTTTTAATAAATTTTTTTTAATAGTTTTAACTTAAATAACATGAAAAATATAAGATTTTTGACTTATATTGATAATTTAAAATATAGATAAATGGACTAAGAACATAAATTAACACTCAAATTATATATATTAACCGTAACAATACAAATCTAAATGATGTTTTCAATAAATGAATGATAAGTGGGTCAACTCGAACACGACATGAAAATTTGGGTCGACATGAACACGACTTAAATTGTCACTCCTACCCATGATTGTAGGGTGTTACATTCTAAATTTTCACTTGGACTCACAAAATGAGTTCGGGGAATTTCTAGACATAAAAAAAAAAACACGTTTTCTTTAACTTTATAAAACACTCAACAATTTTTTGTCCACTTGTTTTCATTTATTTTTCAATCCAAACCATAAAATTGGTTCTGGATTGTAAACCAAACCGGCTTTAAAGGACTATCTTGTCGACTAGCAGAAAGTTTCATATGCAATTTTTGCAAAACCTTGCGTGTGTGTGTGTGTTTTTAAAGGGAAAGATGAATTTTCATTAGGTAGAAATAACCACATCGGTACTTATAAAACTAGTACAACTAAAAAATTCTTCTAACCAGTAACGATCAACATTTAGATAGCCCTATTATTACTATATCGAGAAATTTGACTACAAGAACTACTATTTACATTATCCATCAAGCTGGTGAGGGCATTTAATCATTAATTAATGGAGATTTTTCATTTTTATTATTAAAACATCATACCTTGTTTTTGAAAAAAAAAAAAAAAAAAACTTTATATATATATATATATGTGCATGCTAGTTTTGGCATGGGCTTTTACATAGTATGATTAGTATCCATTTCACAATTATCCACTAAGTAGTTGTCTTATGTCGATACAAACACAACAGACACCATCGAACGGCGCACACGCGCACAGCCACTTGCTTTTACTACGCACTACCCACCACCACCGAAAACACAACACAAAAAAGAACCACCATAAACTAATCAAATTCCAAAACCCCCAGAAAGAAAGAAAGAATCAAACCCAAATTTCAACTGGGAATTTTCCACTTTTCCATTATCATTATAAAAACAAACCCCTTTTCTTTCTTTTTCTTTTTTTTTTTTTTTTAGTGGAAACCCCAAAAAATTCTGCGTTGGAATTCCCCTTTTTTTTTTTTTTTTTTTTTTTTTTTTCTTTTTTTTTTTTTTTTTTTTTTTCTCATCTTTACACGCACTTGTTTCCTGGATTCCCTTGTTCTTTGGAATTTTCTTTCCGACGCGTGGCGGTTTTCCCGAGAAAATCAATGGTTCCCTTGAGCTTTTAAGAGGATTAATTTTTGTTTTTTTTTTCTCTGTCCAAAACCCAAATGGTGACGACGCTTAATTACTCCATTACTGCTTGGATCAGTCATTTCTTAGCTTGTATGGGGTAAGTAAATCTCGATTGCGATCATTTTTAAACTTTTTTTCATGTTTTTGAAGAAAAAATGTTGGATTAGTTTTTGGACAAGTGTTCGTTTGAATGAGTTTTTGTTTTGTGCTGTTCTGTTCTGGTTATTGGCTGGATTTGGGGGTTTTGGTTTTTCTTCTATTTTTAGCAGGTTTTGTTGACTTGAGACATTTTTTATTCTTTCATTCTTCTATGACTTGGGTTGTCTTTGAATTTTTGAGGTGGTTAATAGGCTGGGAAATCTATATCCGTGAAAGATGAACTAAACTTTGGGGTTATAAAATTTGGAAAAATAAAGAAAACAACAAACATGGGAAATTTGGTTTTTGATGGTACTGAAATTTTTTACTTTAGATTTTTCAATAACTTTAGTTGCAATAGTTTTAGACACAAAGTGGGGAATGAATACTTTTCATTAGTACAAATAGGAATGGTATAATAAAGCATATTTGCTTTCAATTTTTAATCATGTTGATATTTAAAATAACCTGAAAAAGTGTGTGTCTGTTTATTCTCTTTGATCTTGTTCTTAGTATTCCTATTTGGTGTTTATATTTATCTTAATAATTGCGTCTTAATTTTGTTTGATTAGTTGCCATGTGTTTAAAATTTTCAGTTTATCCAATTCAAAACTAGATAAAGGTCTAAAAGTTGCTTTTAGTCATCCCATGAAAGTTAGATAATTGGAATTAAAATTAGGATTCTATAGTATGAATGTATCATGTTGATTGGGCCCATTGGAAATTTTGGGGTTCTTAGAACCTTCTTATATGAGAATGAATCGAGGACAACGGATGGTCCTTTTGTGATACTGTTTCTGCAATAACAGTTAAAAAACTTAATTGTGTTTTCGGCTATAATTTGACGCAACACTTGCTCCTTTTTCCTCCATTCATTGTGGGGGAAGAGATAGGAAAAATGTTGATCTCATCCCCACATTGGTTGACGTGTTTAAGATTTTTTATTCTGGACTAAACAATACTTCTTTTCATTGTTTTCAATATTTCTTGTGTATATGGTTTAACCTGGTTTGCAACAGAAAAGCGGTTGTTTTGGATTTTTTTCTCAAGAATAAATTAAAAAAAAAAAGCTCTGAAATTTGCTTTCAAAGGTATAAATGTTTTGTTTTAATATTTCTAGTTTAAACGAAGTGGGCAATGAACACTTTTCAAATAGCAAAAATAAGAAAGGTAAACGGAACCATTTTGGTAAAAATGATTTCTCTATCATAGACAAAAGGCACTGGTTAACTGTTCTCAATCTCTTCGGTTTTGAAATGGTGTTTTAAGTTTTCAGTTTTCCAATTCAAAACTTGAAAAGAACTAAACACTGGTTTTGGTCACCACATGGAAATTGAATAAAATGTCAATAGTCTCGTGGTATGGATATATATCACTTATGGCTTTTGAGAAGTTTCTTTTATGAGAATTAATGGAGTGTGATAGATGGTTCTGCGATAATCTTTTACAAGCTCATTCACCCTAGTGGCTATAAAATTGAAGTAAAGTTGCTCTTTTTTCCTCCATTCGGTGTTGGGGAAGAGACATATTTAGACTTTAAATTCTGGACTATACAATAACCACTATTTGTTTTGAGAATTTCTTGTATAAATATGATTTAACCTGGTCTATAACAGAGCAGTGGTTGTTTTGGATGCTGTACTAAATCCACACCGGTTATTGCTGTGGATGAGCCATCAAAAGGGTTGAGAATTCAAGGCAGATCAGTGAAGAAACCTACTGTATCAGACGATTTCTGGAGCAGCAGCACATGCGACTTGGATAATAGTACCGCCATATCCCAGAGAAGCATATCGTCCATCAGCATGTCCAATCAAACCGTCAACCATGGTGGTGTCACAAGTAGTAGCCATCCTGAATTTGTTAATCATGGCAAGTGGGCGTTTTGTTTAAAAAGAATGGAAAAAAAAATTAAAAATTGTTACAAAGTTGTGGCTGTATCCTTTGCAATTTGTGGACTATGTTAACAGATTATGAAGGTCTATGCGGGCAGCTTGTTAACAATTGTGATCACTCTTTGGCCAAATTCATGTCCTTTGGGACTTTGTTGTGTCAATGTAACTATTTAAATTTCACTGCTGTATATTTACATTGGTAAGTTGCAGGTCTTCTCCTGTGGAATCAGTCGAGGCTTCAATGGACTGGAGGTAGCAGGTCTAGGAGTCAAACAAAACAAAGTCGAGAACGCCGATTAAGGTGTGTTTCTTTTGCTTTGAAATAGCTTTGTCTAGTGATTCCAGTTCTGAAAAATTCGCAATCTTGTGCAGTCAATTGCTTCCACCTTACATATATTGTAATGGAGGATATAACCTACTTTTGTATTCAATTTCTTATATGAGCATCTTTCTTTACATATAGTAGTTGTTCTTGTTAATTATATATCCCGTGACATCAAATATTGACAATCTTTTCAACATTGCAATGACCAAAAATCCGGTCGAACCAAATCATTCCGCTATGACATTCTGGTTTTCTCCTTAATAGCCAAACTGTATTAACTTATATTTTCACATGTTTTCTCAAAAATCTTTTTATATCAAGGCTGATCATCAAATGTTTACAGTTGGAATGCTACGTACGAAAGTTTACTTGGTACCAAGCAGCGTTTCCCCCATCCAATTCCTCTTTCTGTGAGTTCACTCAAAACTTAGCAGTTTTGCTTTATCTGTTAGTTGAACTCCGAAAACTTTTCCTAAAAACCAAGCTGGGTCTTTATCTACAGGAAATGATAGAATTTCTCGTCAATGTATGGGAGCACGAGGGGCTGTATGACTGAAGAGGTGAATAACACTATAGTGTGGTTTTTTCATGCATTGTGGACCTGCTTTGTCTTGGTAAATTCGACAAGGTTTTGTGTATAGCTAGGGGCAAAAGAAGGAACCAAAGAATCTGAACAGAATAAGTAAATCTATTTGAACTGATATATCTTCCACTAAATATCTTTCCCTGTCTCTTTTTTTACCTGTAAATGTCCCTCACCACGCGTAAAATTGGCTAATAGCAAGATTAAGAGTTTGTAACGACACTTTCTAAGACCCTCAAATCTTGACTGGGTTTCTTGTTAGGCGTGGTTCCATATTAGCAACCGGTAATCAAATTTTCCAGGCTTTGTATCCAAGCAACTGCTCTTTCAATCCTGAACCATTGAATGACCGAAAAGAAAGGAAGGTCGATGTCAATTGTTTGTCCTCAGTTTGTGGGAATAGTGTTGAGCTAGGGACAGCTGGGGCAGTTTTCCCCCAACCTAGTCGGGGGTATGGGTCGGGTTGGGAAAAACAGTTTATTAGTAGCCGAAGAGGGGAGATAATATCATGTAGCACGTACTTCGCTCCAAATAGGTACAGGGGCAACGGGGAGGACGGGAAACCTTGCCGGAGAATCCTCAATGCTGCATCACCCAGGAAATGGCGGTCAATGGGGCAGTGGTTTGCAGTTTTCGGAAAACCGGTCATTCCCACTCGTTTTACAATTCTACATACAGCCGATTATGACACATATCATTAGATGTAGACTATACATCAAACGGCGTTAGGCTGCAAAATCGTGGCTCATTTTGATATCTTTTCGCAATTCTAAAAAAGGCTTCTGATTCATGAATAAGGAAGGGAATTTAGATACGTCCATTGCAAGGTTGGTTTGATTAAAGTACAAAAAATTTAAACTTAGTTTCCGTGTAAATCCTTTCTTACAGACCATTTGTTAAAAGGGGCTTCAACTAGCATGCTAGACAAGCACATTTTTGGACCTACTTTTGTTTGTCGCACTGAATAGAAACTACTTTTTTAAAAATAAAAAAAATTATTGTGAAGCTCTTTGTTTTACAAATAAATAAATAGATTAATAACATGTTAGGTATACCAAATAGAAGGTCATTTTGACAAATCTCTAACAAATCTCCAACATTTGTAATTTTGTACCAAATGGTAGATTGAAGGATCTAATGCCTGTTTTAATTTGACAGCTTCTACAAAAGGGGTTTAAAAAAAAAAAAGGCTTCTTCAAGCTTTGCTTTCTTATAACTTGTAAAAGTAACCCTACATCGCAATTTTACGAAAATGGAGTTGAAATATAGTTTTTTAAAAATTATAAAAAATATATATTAATTTATCTTCAGGATATTCATGTTATACTACAAAATGACGAGAAATTATTTTGATATTAGTTTTTGCTATTTGTAAAATATTATAAGTTTTTGTTATATTTCAACATGGTTAGTAAAATTTTACCATAGTCCCGAATCCCCATATCTATCGCAATTTGCATAGAACGCAAAGTTGGATTAGCCCAACTTGGCCCAACTACATGGTTTGAACAACATCAAGAAATCTTCACAAATAAGTATTAATTTTTACTTCTTACTCTTAATTAATATTTTTTGTAGTCAAATAAATATATTAACATTTGTAGTCAAATAAATATATTAACAAAAGGATACTGATAAAGAACAAGAGGTAAAATTCTAAACTCATGTAATTTTAAAGGTAAGTTCAACAATTTTCTCAACCAGAAACATATACGAATACAAACTCACAAAAAGTCATCAATTTGAGCTTTCAATTTCAGTTTTATTACAGTTAAAAGCTTTCATAAAAAGTCACATCTAACCTTGTTTTGCTACAGTTAATAGATCTCACATAAAATCACATTTCAGTTTGAATTAAAAACTCGAATCGGCGAACTGAACGAGGTCAAAGTTATTTTTTAATTCATTTGTTGTTCTTTGAATTTGAGTATTGTAGGTGCCCTTTTCTTTCCCATTCTGTTCTGAAGTAAGAAAGAAAAATAGGAAATCGCTGAATGAGTTGTTGCTTTCAAATGTGATTCAAGATATGAACTAGAATTCATTATTCAATAAAATACACATGAACGAGTCCCATAAGGAACCACAAAAAAGACATTTTCCCTCGTTCAATGAAACATCAAGGAGTGGTCGGTTGTTGCTTATTATTTAAGGCAAGGAATGACATATTTATACACTCTTCTTCTTTTAACATTACTAGGCATGTTCAACCCCCTTCTACATGTCAACTTATGTCTAAGACTTAGAATATTCAATAATAAATGGAAGAATTCGGGTATGAAAAAATATGATAGAATATAGTTCTGAATCTTAATATTATATCGATAAAAATTAAATTGAAAAAAAGGTAATAATACGAAAAATTTAAACGAATTTTAGTTATATTCTGACGGTTCATATTTTTAGGAAGAACAAGCTTTATAGAATTTAAAATTTGAATAATTTTACACAATCTTTTACTAGCATTAAAGTAATTGTTTTTCTATTACATTAATATATTTACTAAAGAAGAGACATGGTTTATTGTGAATAGTACAGTGGAATCCCAATTTTACCGTAAAGTTTGAATTGTCGAGTTTGCCTTTATTTTTCTTTTCTTCTCATTTTTTTGGGCATGGACTTTTGGGTCTTTTTCTGTCCTATGATCTGATTGTACATTTTTATCTTCAGTTTTTTATATCTTTATTTGTTCTTGTATTTACTAATTCATATCAATTATCAATAAAAATCAATATTTATTATTTTGAATATATATCTTAACAATCTTTTATCATTTTAGTACTGAACTAAAGACAAAAGACTCACCTAAAAAACGTCAAAGAACAAGGTAATATAATTACTTCTAAATCATTTGTTTTACACTACATATAATTAAAGATTTTCAATTTATATAAATATATCTATATATAGCTATATGTATATATAAACTAATTTTATACTATAAAATTTTATAATTTTTTGTATAATATTATAATATTTTCCGCAACAACGCACGCACTTTTAGTTAGTTAATACTGCAAGAATTGCTACCTTTAATATTTATTGTTGGGATTCGTAGTAATACGTATGCAGGAAGCAAATATTGGTCAAACTTTTTCATTGCATCAATACAAAAACAAAGGTTCATTAATGCACTAACCAAAGCCACAATTGCCAAAATTACATTACAATAAAGACCCTTTTTTTTTTTTTTTTTTTTGCAGTCTCGAAAGGGCAGCAAAACTCCAAAATTTGCTGGTTCCCACTGTAAAGGTACTTGGCTTCTCATTTCCCAAGGGTCCAAGGAACAAAACCATGTCTTTTGTACATAAATCATTTTCTTTTGAATTTTTTATAGGTGAATTCTTTATGAAGAAAATGATGCAGGTGTATGGATAACATGTACCCTCTATACAATGCATATTCCAAGCCAAAACCAAGTTGCTACAACTTGGAATTATTAAAACAAAAAAAAATAACCAACACTAATGACCATAGATTGAGGCCAAAATCTTTTAGAAGAAACTTAAAAAAATAAAAAGGAAAGGGAAAGAAATTCATGAAGGACTGAGACCAGAAAACAAGGGCTGGTTTTTTTATTGTTAATTTACTATACTTTTGAGCTAATATCTATAATGACGTACGGACCACCGGCTTTGAATTGATTAATAAAGACTTTGTATAGTACATGAACCGTGTGCATATTGTTAATTGCTATAATCCTTCACAAACTTGAACAATTTGCCAAACCGCCTGGTTTCAGTTTTTAAGTTTGGTTTCTTAAAAACCAGTGTTGCATATTTTTAAGGTAGTTTAAAATAAAGAACAAATTTTATAAATTTCCCTTTGACTTTGTCCTTTGTGTCAACTTGCTCTTTAAACTTTAAAATGTGCATATTGTGCCCCTTAAATTATGACATGTCTCTAACTTTTTTCACTCCATCTGATTCTGTCAAGTTCTTTAATGGAAATGCTTATGAATTCTCCTTAAATTTTGTCACTTGTGTCAACATACCCTCTGAATTTTAAAATGTAACTGTGTACTTGTTGTGCCTCTCAAACTATAATATGTCTCAAACTTTCCCATTGTATCTTGATTTGTCAAATTTTTTTTTTAAAAATGTTGATATAGTCATTAAATTGTTGATTAGGTATGATATTAGGATTTATTGAATGCCCTTATAAATATTAGTTAGGCACATAATTCTCAAAATATTAATTAGTTAGAGATAATAAAGACGGAAAAAATGAGCAAATGGGTTTTATTAGTTTTTTAGTTTTTATTTCTTAACTTAATAGCCGATACAACATAAAACATATTTATGCTTTATATATACACAACAATATTTATAAGTCTAAATACGTTCATGTTATTGTGTTTGTGTGTGTGTTTTTTTTTTTTTTTTTTTTGAAAAAATTCAATACAAATGTTAAGAACCCCATTCACTTAACAAAACTTAAAAGAAAAAATGTTCACCATAAAAAAACACGTAATACAAAATTCAAGAAAGAATCTATCCTCTACATTAAGAAACTTATTAATTTAACAATCCTATTCCAACGAAAAAGGAAAAAAAAAAAAAACCTAAAAAAATAACAAACTCATTATCTTGTACAGATTTACTCATTATTTTTTTTCTCTTTATTGCCTCTACGTAACTAATATTTTGAGAATTGATGTCGAACTAATGTTTTTGGAGGGATTGAATTCAATAAACCCCAAATAATCAGTAATTTAATGACAATATCAACATTTCTGATCACAAATTGACAAAATCAAGATTAAGGAGAAAAAATTGGAGACATTTCATAGTTCAGGGAGAACAACAAGTATATTTTAACATTCATGGGGCATGTTGACACAAGTGACAAAGTTTAGGAGAATTTATATAAGCATTCTCGTTAAAAAAACTTGACGGAATCAGACAGAGGGAGGAAAGAAGGAAATTGGAGACATGTCGTAGTTCGATGGGCACGTGTTGTGCATTTATAAGTTCAGGGGGCATATTAACACAAATGACAAAGCTCAAGGGAACTTATAAATTTGTCCTAAAATAAATGTCACGCTATATTCTTTTTATTTCTACAAGATGTAGAAACGTCATTCATGAAGAATAACCTAAATCTGTTTTTTTTTATTTTTTTGAACGGAAAATTTCATTGATAAATTAACAAATTACACAAATAGTAGTAAATGACCACAACCTACATGGAAATTCGACCCCAGACATTGACTAGATCCACTAGTGAAGACGGATGAAACACAAGGGTGAACACAAGTGT